TAAAATAATCTTACGGCAGCTGGCTCTGCTTGAATATGTTTCAAAAGTGTGATGTAAATACCGTCTCACACTATTTTGTTGCCTATTAGGGCTCTCTGGTAGGTGATACGACTGAGAGTGAGGAGAAAGAACGCCACACATTTATTTTTAAGATCATCAGCACTAGTGATAAAACTTAGGGGAAGAAGCGAGCAGCCTTCCTATCTGTATGCGTTAAAAAACGTATGCAAAGAAACTCAAATCAAAAAGATACAACTGGAAGACGACATACACAGAGGGTACAATTTAGGGCATTTTCAAGAGCTGTTTCAGCCGCGTTAAAAAGGAGCAGCAAATTCCCAATTTAAATCACCCTATTTACAGCAAAGACAAAGAGCTTGACACAGCGGGAGGATGCACTAAAGAACCGTTCTTTTTTTTTTTTTCCACCTGTTTCCTTCGCGAGGGTTTAGATATCGCTATCCATATCTTGCCAGTCATCACATCGCTGGAGTAATTTAGCACACAGCTACTGCGAAACAACAGGAGGAGTGCAAATAATCGATCCGGAGTTCATTACATTTGGATTTTTCAGCAGTAAACTTCTGAGATTCTAATCTTCACTCAGCAGATGAATATTTCAGATCAGTGTCAGAGGAAAACTGAGGAAAATAAACACCAAACCTAAGCAAAGTATTTATCACTGGCACAATCATTGTCTATGCACTTGGCTACGGCATGCACCAATTTACATCTGACTATGTGCAATAACACTAAAATTCAAGAGGCAGTGACTACAGGATCAAAGCTTTATTCAGCTGTAACACGTTATATCCATGGATTATAATCCTTGAGCAAACAGAATATTACAGTAATGAAGACCTTAGCATTACAAATATGTTAAAACAGCTTGCATTTGGGGTGATATTTAAGGTCAAGTTGTATCTGAACACAACTATTAAAATATTATGAAAATTGCCATTATGGAGTAAATAATGTTTTCTTTCAGATGTAACCTCTAAAATACATTCCATTTCAAATTTGTTTTTCTTATTTTTCAGTCCCAACAAGCTCAAGCTGAGCATCTACATCCCTGACCTGCTCTATGTGAATGAAAAAGCCAGGAATGAGGAACTATAAGCTCAGCCTAAAAAAGTAGCTCCCAACTTCTATCAAAACATGACCCTGAATAAATACAATCAAGAGGATACTGTAGCAAGTGTCAAGTATCACACGTCTAAACCCCTTATTATTTCATATGTACTCTCAAATGAAATTAATAGGCTCGAGAAAGATTCTGCAGAGTAAGAAATTTCTTATCCTAAGGAAAACTAACATGCCTTCTGCTACTGCCCCCACAGCCAGAATAACTGAGAAAGTAAAAAGCTCGGGAATGTGATGGGAGAGGTGACAAGATGGGTGAACAGGCTGTGCTCCTGGGTTAGTACTGTGGTTACTCATCTGTGCTTAAACCTAAAAAAGGATTATTAATTATTTCTTCTTGCAAGATACTCAAAGATTAACTTAGAAACAGGCAAAACCTTTGGTTTTCCTTACTGCTCCTCTTAATTGCCTTCCCTTACCCACTGGAAAAGCAGAAACAGCAACAGGCTCTTGGGACCGTTGCATCTCACATATACATATATGTTAGCACAAACAGGAGAGCAGCAAGTTAATGCAGAGTAGCAGGTTATGTTCTAAGGGAAAAAAAAAACATTTACCCAAGATGGGAAGGAAATTACATAAGATACATACATAATGTAAGATATATAAATATGATATATATTATTTATATACATAAACGCGCTTGGGACAAGATGGGGATAACTACACAGAATCAATATGTTTGAAGTAACAGCGTTGACTTGGTGAAGAATACCCACTGAAGATCTCATTTTAAGCTGATATTAAACCCTATTGGTATCAATCCTTTTTGGGGATTAAAAAAAATAATTAAAAAAATGTAGGTTTTTAAACACTTAATCTTAACTAACATTTGCTTTCTCAGATTTGTAGCTATAGAAATGCAAGTGGCAAGCCAGCTCAGCCATAGTAAAACTGTGCACTCAACAAATCTAACAGGAGATACCATATAATTATGTTCCCTGCCACTGCTTGCCCCGAGGTCCGTGCCAAATCAGGAAACACTCACTCCTGTACCTTAATGGCCCTGCTGCGTGCCTCCCTGCCCCTACTGCTGGGCTGTTTCACACTCCTATGTAATTGCATTTATTTATATCAGACCACAGGCCAACATGATGGCTCTTGTCTCTGAGAGCACTCACCTATACTCATTCCTGATTTAAATGTTTTTCTTCATTTTTCCCCTTTCTGGATATGTTTCTATATCATTTTCCATGTGCTAGCTACCCTATTGCTTCTAAAGCTATGCTGCAGAAAAAGAAAAAAGGCATTTCCTTCTATGAAAATAAGATAATTTAATTTTAATCTTAATATCTTTGCCCAATAACAACAAAATAATCAGAAACACAGCATCTGAGCAGTTAACTGTGGCACAGAAACTACACTAACACTGCTGGCAGGTGCCTTTCACAGCACGCTCCCAAATCCTCAGCCGTCCAGCTGCCCTCCCTCCTGGTCCACAGCTCAGCCTTCCCTCCATGGGAAATGAAAAGGGGCAGGAGATAGTGAGGATCTGCATTGTGTCCCAGTGTTTAGGCGGAGTCCAAAGAGATAAAGACCCAGATTATTCACACGTATAAAGTACTTAGGGGCCCAGATTTTAGTTTAAGTGATTTCCCTTTGGATGCAAAGACCAGGATGAATCCTAGTCTTTGTTAGCAACTAACTGCTCATCCATCCCTTCATTTTGGGTACGGTGCGTAATAGCTTTTTCCTTCTTGTCTGCTCAACTGGGTCCAATTATTTGCTTTTTAAATGTGAGCTCTACAATTCTAAGATCCATACACATTCCCGCTAAATCAGATTGAGAACCACATTGTGATCTTACAGAAGAAAATATTACCAAGTTGTCTTTGTGACAGAACACGGAGTAGGTATAAAATTGCAATGGTCTCTATGCCAGGTTTTTTTTTTTTTTTTAAACTCTCTGCTTGTAAGATGAAAGCCTAATTTGATATTTTTGTAGTTATATAACAGTTCTAATATTTTGTGACATTTTGTATTGTGACACTATAGATGAAATTGTCATCGGACTGACACCCTTTACTGTTTATTCCTTAATTACAACTGTTAACAACACTGCAGAGAAGCGTGCTAATCTGCCATCACATATTATGAAAACAACGTTATTGTTACAAACACCAACACCCACTCAACAGGATATTTCTAAGATGGCAGTTTCTGTAAAAACTTATCAGTTTAATGGACACTTCAATAGAAAAAGTTTTAAATGAACTCTTAGTATTCCCATTGAAAATGCACAGCAATTTTATATCGCAGCTGAAGTTTTGATTTTATCGTGTCAGTGATTCTTTAGCTAATTTAAATTCAGACAAAACTGAGTGCCTAATTTCAGGGAGAACAGTGTCTGCAGATTTTGGTACTTAAAGATTACCCAAACTTCCTATAGTTTTCAGCTAGAAGTTAGTTCTCTAGTTCTGACAGGACCACAAACTCCCCACCAGCAGCTAATCAGTGAATAACTTAACTACGTTTAATTAAATCAACACAAGCTTTTAGTGCAAAGATCCAAAGCAGCCAGGACATTTATGAGAAATATTGCTAAAAAGTACCTAATTTTAAATAAAAGTCATTAAAATATCCCTACTATTAAAAAAAAATAATATCTCTACATAGCAGTTCACTTTCAGCCTAGCAAAATTTGTAATAATTACATTTTCATAACCTCAGCAGAGGTATATTTTTTTTTTTTCCTCCTACCTCCAGGTTGGAGGTGGAAGTTTGTTGTTGTATGAGAGATCAGATTTTAACAATATATTGACCCAAGTCTCCAGGTTCTTATTTTAAGAAAAGATTTTTTTTCCTAGGTTTCTTTTGCTTAGGAAGGATGAAATTTCTGCAGGCCAAGTCACACACCTGGAAGGATCTTCCACTGAACTGATCCTTTAAAAAGCAGTGCACTAGAGCAGTGAAAATTTATACAAAGTTAGCCTATTGTACAATCAAAACTCATTAATACTGCACCTCTGTAGGAGGAAGCAGAGGAGCTGTTCAATGGCTGAAAATTAAAATATTATCTCCTCAACTTCTATATATGCTTGGTTCTTGACAGCCACTGCCAGCTACCTTTCAGTTTGCTTCTTTCAAACTTTTCATGCCTAAGCAAAAGTTCTCACTTGTAGATTATGTCTATGTAAGGAAAATAGCATTAAAAGCAGCCCGTAGAAGTAGCAAAAAAACCTAGGCATTTATTTCGGGGGTTTTTTTTGTCTTTACCCACCCATTAGACAGGAAATACAACAGTTCTCACTTGTAGATTACGTCTATGTAAAGAAAATAGCATTAAAAGCAGCCTATAGAAGTAGCAAAAAACCCTAGACATTTATTTCAGGGTTTTTTTTTCTTTACCCACCCATTAGACAGGAAATACAAAGTTGGCAGCAGGAGGTTGGGAAAAGCAGCAGTGGTTACTGGAACGGGGTGTAGAAGAGATTAAAGTGGCAACGACAAAAATCAGGGCAAACAAGATGCAGAAATACAAGGTGTTCCTTCTACAGCTGCTCTCATGAAGGTTTTTACAGAGGTTCCTGGTGCTAAACCAAGGCTACTGTGTCCCATGTGAATAACCTGCCTTTCCTGTTAACGGTAAATTCCTCCTTTCTCCCTCATCCACAGAGAGACACACAGCACGGATGACTGCAGTGAAGAAAGATAATGCACGAATCTGTCTTTACACATCACACTTATATGTAGAAGCAGAGGATTAAAAATAACCGAAAACTCTTCTCAAACTGAAAAAGCAATTACCTTGAGGGGTACCTATATACCAGCGTTCCTCACTTTTGATCCTAAAAGCCCCTTTGACAATTGCTTCTCTAATACAGAATAAAGAATTATACACAATGTGACAACAGAAGAAAATTATCCAATATGGTTAATTTTCATTTATATGATTTACATTACAATTTAACGGCGTGATATTCCGTTGCCTGATTTGGATGATCTTGTCTGCCTAAGCCATAAGTTACAAAACAAAAGCAACCTAGAGTGTTTATTTTTGCGAATCTTCTTCTGGGTAGCTTATGTTCTGTTTTGTAGTTTTCATTTTCGTAAAACCAATAGGAACTTCTGCTCTTCCTAAAAGAAACTGTTCCCACTTGGGAAGAGATTCTTTTATTGATGCCCAATAGAGAGTCTGAGAAAGATAAAAGAAAAAATAAACTTAATTTCAAAATCTGTGTCAGCCCGTTTAAAAACAATATAGATATGAAACGCATTATTAAATCTTGCCTCAGAAGTGAAGCATGAAATTTCAAATCTCTTCTATGACACAAAATACCAGTCTGGAAAGATTTCATTCTGCAGCATGAACTGTGAAGTGACTGAAAGTGCCCTCTTGTGGTAAGCAATAGATTAGTTTAGACCCTCACAGTACCTTTAATAAAATATTTTCCATGATAATAAACTTTTCCAAAAGCAGCTTTTATATTTAAGTACATATGTTAGTGGAATTTAATTTTGAAGTGTAAAAAATTGTTTAATGTTATAAATGGAAAGTGCTATGTAAATTGGTTATCCTAGAAAAGTTTGCCATAATGTAGTTCAAAATATTTGAGTAAAATTTTAGATGTGATAAATCACTGACAAAGTAATTGGCTCCAGTATTTGGATCACAGATTTAAAATAAATAAATAAATAAATCAATCATCAGTATAATTATCATGTGGTCTAGGAAAACCACTGTGGATTATCTAACCCTTTCTCTGTGTTACCTTGTGCTTCTGAGTAATAAATATAACTTTTTTTTTTTTTTTAATCCGTGGAATGGACATACCATTCGTCATTTTTGTATTGGTGTCCTAAGGATAATTTTGTTGGTTTTAGGATTTTGAAGAAAATTTTAAGTGCCACATACTATTTTTGCCCCCCCCCCCCCCAATAATGTGATCAAAGAGCTGTATTAAAGCCTACACTTTAATCCATCTACCAATGTAAGTATTTTTAGACATTGATGTCGATTCAGAAAAGAGTAATTTTGTAGTAGAAAACATTTACGGTACATATGTATTGAATCTTTTTTCTTTACTTGTTTTAGTATATAACATAGAAAAAGCATACCACAAAACTGAACATCTCCCTGCAGAGTATTAGATTCCTGGCTAATCATTTTGATCCTTACATGTAACTCAGATATAACTACAGCTCTTGCAGATTTACAAAAATATTTTCTCCAACAGATTTACTCAAAGAATCTTTTTTGACAAGCATATGTGCTGTCACACAAAACTACTCCGACTTAGCAAGCTGGGGATCCATTATAGCCATAACTTTCAAAGTATATTAATACAGACACATATATGGCTGAGTGAAATATGTTCAGAAGTGTTTTGGAACAAAGCACGCACAAGAATTTTGTACCATGAAAGAAAGTTTTCTTTTACCACTATTTATAGCGCTCTTCTCTAGAAGTATAAAAAAAAGGCTGAAATAGGATCTTCTCCTTCAAATAGTAACTCTGTTCTCTCTAAACTTCAGCCACTGGTGCAGCGTGTAGACATCTCTGCAGCCATAAGCAATTGCTCTGCATTCTCCAATTTGCATGGACTTTGGTCTAGGTGACACAAGCAGCTTAACCCCTGACACAGGGCAGAGGGAGAAGCTGTCCAAACCTGATCCAAACAACTCTAGAGGTGCCTTGAAAGTCCCCAAGGAGTCTAAAACTACTCCTGAGCTCAGTCAGAATAGGTTCAACTTTGGCATCTCTCTTAGCATTATTCAAGACGTACAGGTATCTAAGAAAAAATGTACCCTTTTGCCTAAAAATATGTATAAAAAAAATATTAGAAATCACTGAATGGGCATACTGAGTGTGCATCCTGTCACAGTGGAGCAGATAGGAGTAGGCTATTTACAAAATGCAACGTCAGACAAAAACTTTAATCACCAGAACAAGAAGTGATGCCTCTCATTTAAGTAATAGCCTAAGCATTACAACACTTGCCCAGCAGGTGTGAAACTAATGTAAAGTACACCTCTCTTCACAGGCTGACAGCGCTAAAATCTATACCTTTCCCCACCTTGGATGGTGCCCTAGCACACAAACTAGCGTGGGCTGCTCCGTGCTACTATACCTGTGGAAACTAAGCCAACGCACAACGGAGAACCCACAAACCACTGGTGCAAGAAAAGCAAGTGAGAATCTGAGTCAGGTGCCTCGTGGTTGAGGTGTTTAGTTTGCACAGGAAGAGCTGTGCTCCAATTGCTGCTCCCAGGACTGTTTCTGTCCTCATCATTCATTCATCACTTCAGCAAAAATCAAAAAGGAGCAGTACTTTTCATAAGTTCCCAGACAGCCATAAAATAACCCTGAGAAGTAAAAATTTCTCTGTTCATGCTGATAAACTGTTGACCCTGAAATGTGAAAATGACAATCTGTAGCAAACTGAAAATGGGATGACCATATAAACCAAACTAAATAGATCTGACATAAACACAGTAATCTTCTGATATTTACAATATTCATTAAACTAAAAAGATCTGACATAAACAGTAATCTTCTGATATTTACAATATTCATTTTTATATTTGACTTCATTTTGAAACAGAAGTTTGTATAGATCTGAAAGCTGCTAAATATTTCCACCAGAATGCTCCAGAATCTAGGGACCTTGCCCCAGAATTTAGGTTCAGCTTGCTACACAGTACACAGGCCTTTGGCTATACCAGTCACTGGATTTTAAAATCAATTATTTTCACTTTAAGAACATGCTTCAGGGGAAAAAAAGCAAAATATTTGGTAAACAGCAAATGAAAAGACAGAGTTCGAGGACTTACTTCTAACTTAACAGTATCAGGATGTGGAAGTAAACACACTCTTTCTTGCAGCTTTTTTTCTGCTGCTTCTATATCCTAAAACACAGGCAAAGTACATTTTAAAAACAAACAAACACTGGGCATATCAAAAGGAAAATGCACACTCACATAAAGACATTCAGTTAAATGAACCCATATCAGCTAAACAGCATTGAAATAATAACACTGAAGTTCAAATCTTTCTGTTTAGTCAGTCTGAAATCCAACTTGTACTAGTAAGACTAACATCCTAAATATGTTTGCTGTACCTTTTTGATACAAGAGTAAATTTCATGAGAACATAAAACTGTTGCTGCAAAATACAATTATTGTTTCTGGATACTAGGGCATATTACAGTTAAATTCTGTTCTCTAAAACTTACAAAAATGGGGTGGGGAGCAGAATGGTTTTCTCTGTGCTGCACGAAGACTGAAGTATGTATTCTAGCTACTGTAACTGTAAAGTAACTAGGCAAATTATGTGCAAGATCTTTACTCCTCAAGACAAAGATGACTTGCTAATATGCATGCATAACATGTGCACAAAAATGTAGAGCTGCAGCAAGCTGTTCACTAGACAAACTTGGATGACAATGCACCTCACATAGCTTTTTTACAAAAAAAAAAATAAATCAGTATTTGGGTTTCTGCTTGTCCAGTGGATGCGTGCTGGATTCACAGAGGCCTAAATACATTTTTAAAAAAAGAAACAACCAAAAAACAACATCAACAAACAAATCAAAACATCCCCCCAAACTAACCGCCCTCCCCCTTTAAAGTTCTGACCCATTCTTGTGGGCTTAGTTCCATACCCAAACATTGAAGAGATTGAGTGGTGGGCAGATGAAGAGAGACAGAAAGGGACGTGGGAGTGGGGTGTGAAGAAGCCAAAGCTGAACAGAGTGGAGGGGGAAAGAAAGTATAGCAGATGGCAGAGTTGGGAGCAGAGAGCGGGTGTGAAGAGTACAACAGAAAAACTAAATGAGAGAGGAAATTCCCCAAAGGGACTTCCCAAATATTCACCACCACTGCCGCTGAAAAGAAGAGTGAGATTCTGGAGAAGCACATCCACAAGAGAGACCAAACATGATTACTGGTATTGAATATTAGCCAATCTGAATACATCAATAAGTAAACAGTGCTAGACTCAAGTTTAGCTTGAAATATATGACTCAAATTCAGTAGAGTATGATTAATAAAAGCAAAAAAACAGTCTTACTGTTAGCTGAAGTTCAACTTAGTGGTATAGATACACTCAGTTAATTCAATTTACAGTGTTCACTTTATTCCACTTCATTAATTCCTTTTACAGCATGACTGTTCTCTTGTACGTAAGCACAACCCAAACCTAAGCAAAACTGTTCTCCCTTTTCTACAGCAAAGTGCAAACCCTTGTAGGAAGCTAAATGATTCTGAGAAAGAGGAAACTAAGTCTCAGATTTATCCAAATCCTCAGAAGCAGCAAGTGGCTGCCCCTTTTCAGGCAAGAAAAGAGTAACAGAGAGTAAACACAAGGTGGGGAAATATGGGCAAAGATGGACCCCATTTGAAGTCACAATGTCAAAATAACAGAGGACAATACAGACTTAGCTAACCTAAGCAAGGAATTCTCTAATGCATGTACTTAGACCAGATACACCATAAATAGCGCCAAATGAAGCTCATTATCAGTATGGCTCAGACTACGTCTGGAGAAATTATCACCATACTGAAAAGAAAGATTAATCTGTAACGTTCATTTCATATTCTTCCATACGATTTTCCTCCTTCCTGATACCTTTTTCCTAATTCCTGCAGGAATTTTCACAGGAAGGAAGAATACCAATCAAGTTCATTATTTATCTTTACACTCAGCTAAGTCATTGGAATGTTTACGGTGATAGGAAATGTGTCTTTGAGGCAAGAAAGGAGACAGCAGTTGTGCATATATGTTTAGTTGAGAAGGTCACTTTGGCATAGCCTAGATATTGGATGTGTCTTTTTGTTGCTCACTCTAGTTTGTATGTTGTGCAGTCTATTGTCATTCAGAATCCTGATTTATTGACAGACAGTGAAAGAAATTTTTGCTGGAAGGTGTAGCATGCTTTATAAAATAACTGGAACTACTGAAAGATTAGATGGCACTTCTCGGGTGTCTGTACAACTGCTAAGCTTTGTAGGAAAAAGAAATTCTCATCATCAACATAAAAATAAATACATCAGCAGTTTAAACTTCTTCAGAATAAATAGCAAATCTAATATGTCACAGCACTGAAAAAAGAGAGCATCTTACAACGCTTCCCCTAAAACCACAAGGACTGGAACGAAAACAATTCAAGACCCTTCCCCAGAGGTAAAATGGAATGCATGACACATGCATCACTTTTAGGGGACCAAATTCAGCTGTCACTTATATTGATATCAGTCTGGCAGAATCCCACTTAAATAATTCTAAAATTACAGGCCTGTGAAGGAAAGCAAATTTGGTCTAAACTACCTTCCCGATACTAACTATAATATAGCATATTCTTTATTTTCTATATCGTGTTATAAGCTGTTGCACAGCAAGACATATTTCTAAACACAAGAAATATTACCAACAAATAAAGGTCATAGATTATAAATACCAGTCTAATTTCTGCTTTTATTACAACAATATTATATAAGTACCAACTGATACAGATTTCCACAATCTGCAGCCTCCCTCTAAAGACATCAAGGAAAATATTATGATAATTATGTTAAAATCCTGAGCAAGGGCTTATAATGTTAAAAATTCAGTTAAAAAGAAATGTTTAGTTCCTTGCTTCCGACTGATTAGTAAATAAATTAATTTTGAAATGCTTTCCTGTGCATAAATATCAACTAGCACAGAGAAAGAAAAATGTCTTTTGCTATGATCACATACTGAAAACAACTGATTTTGCTTACATGCAGAAAAACAGAAATGCAAATAAAAAAATAACACTTCATCATGTCCATGTATTTTTGAGTAGGCCAAATCAACAACTCTCCACATGGTAACTGTGAAATGTACAGTGCCTGGTATCAGGAACAATATTCTGAAGCTGGCACATTAATCAGTCTTGTTTTCAAGCTTCTCATATATTATTCTGAATAGATTTTTTTTTTTCCTGTTTTCTTCTGTTATCAGAAAGCATCTGCAGGAGTGCATGCCTGTTAAAACTAGTATAAAATTAATAGATTTAAACTGATTTATGCTACTTTATCCTGCAACAGAATTTGTTTTGATACATATGTTTTTGCTTTTTTTCCCGTACAAACACCAACATTTTTGACACTTGAAAGGAACAATTTTGAGGATGTGACAGAAGATGGCAAATATCTGTTTAGCTGCAAAAATATTTACACTCTGTATATGTCTGAGCTATTGTTAACATTTCCAATACAGCAAGCTTTCAGCATGCAGAAATATACCCTATGTTTATTGTGTTCGCCTGTATACATTAACTGAGAATGCAGTTATAAAATACAAACAATTTACACACAACAATATTTATTAAATAAAAATCTATTATGAAGTGGATACAGAAAATGGGAGTCATAATGGCTGAAATTACTAAATCAATGGAGCACGAACTATGGAAAAAATAAACCAACCATCCACCTCTCACTCTCCTTCTGAAGCACCTACACTCGTCTATACCCACCACAGAGTAGTTTGATCTCCCCAGCCCAGAATACACCAGTTTACCAGGGTCCAAGCTGAAAAATCTTCCTCGTCACAGAGTAGTTAAGAAGGCATCTCTGATTAACGGTTCTGCCTTGTCTGCCACTCCCTAAATATACCTTCCCTTTAAATACAAAGAGGGCCTGCAATAGAATTATACCTATCCAAAATGCGAAATCTTGACCAGGTTCTGCATGCAGAAACAAAAAATTTTCAGTGACACAAATGAATCTTGTCATTTTCTAGAGTAAAACTTATTGTTTCAGTAAACACAATGCATGCAAAATGGAACCGTAATAAGTGAGAGTTTAAAACAAAAGCACAAGAAGTATGGTTTTCTGCTGTTTCCTGAACCACCAACAAACATTCTTCAAGTGCATGCTCATGTCAGTGGCCAAGTGCAATCTCTTCAAACTCAGATGCCTAAACTAGAGATTCTAAAAGAGGTTTTAGCATTCCAGTCCCTGCCATCAAACCTAGATCTTTCTAATTACCCATTCTCAACTGTCTGTTGAATTTACCTAGGAAACATAAATCTTACCTAAATATGACAACAGGTATGTAGAACAGCTACTAACATTATTAACAGCAACACTACTAGGAAGAGCCAGAAACACCAAACACTGTTTTTACAAACTTGCAAGTCAAATTCTTGAAGTCATTCTACACCTCTTCAAAGAAAAACATTAAACTGAGAACTTCTTCCACAGCTTCCCACCACCATAGTGGGAGAACAGTTCTTACCCTGGACTAAAAGCATTACAGCCTGGTCGGTGTCTATTTCCAAGCATACCCCTATACCTTGAATAAAAATGTAAAGGCGCTGTGAGTCCTGTCAGAGTAAGTTCTCTTAGGCAGACACGTAATAGCATGTGTTGCATCTCTACATGTACTTTAAAAAGAAATAATAATTAAAAAAAAGGATAGTAGCAGCTGCCACCACGAGGCTCACATAAGAAGGGCATGGGAAATAGGTAGTGATGCCACCAGATAATGAAGACTTCTCATTTAATACTTTTGGTCAACTTACAGAGGGAACTGTATATAGGAGAATTCAAGCGATAACTACAGAGCAAACACTTTTTAAAAATTTCTTTAAGCTACATAACCATGATATTTCAATGCGGTTCCTGGTAGTTGCAGAAACTTACATTTAAAAGTGCTGCATTCCTTTTACGAGCTGCATCAGCTGCTTGAGTTTGCCATGTCTTTTTAGTCTTTTTGTCTCCTAGATAAGTCTCCATCTGCTGTAGCAGCTCTGATCTCTGAGACAGTCTACAAAGGAAAACATTTTGCTAAGTGGGTAGAACATTTTGCTCAGGAGCTAGAAAATAACCTTTTTACCTTACCCAGTCTTCTCAAAACTATGGGGCTAATTAAGCCGGCTGTAGGGTGGGTGTGCTGGGGGAGGGAAAAGGTACAGGCAGCCACCACCTGCTGTGCCTGTATGAAGCTATAACGTTGCAACCAGCAGTCCTCATATGCTAAGGTGCTTCGAAGCGCTGAATCTCCCAGAACAGGAAAGGCAGGGTGGGTTGGGGTGACTCGATCAGTACTACTCTTGCTAGTTGGCAAGTATGAGTTGTTACAAGAAAAGCAGATTTTTCTGAATCATTACTGTATTGGCTTCACAATCTGAGTTTACAGGGCAACAAAGAAGCAATTCTATAATTGAGATACAGAGTGAGAGAATCCAATTACCTTCCCCAAATAGGAATTTAACGGTGACAGGAGGTTAACAATGGAGAAGTTAAAGCAGTACCGCTATGGGAAGTCAAAACCCTCATCAACCTAAATACCCTTAACGGCAATCAAGGATGCTAATTCCAATAGTTCATGAAGGAAGAGTGCCACCTCCTGGAACACCAACCCCTTCTTGAAATACCACCGTGCTCTGCACAGAGCTCAGATTCACTGTTCACAGGATGGTTGTGTGCAGGGAGGGAGGTCTGGAAGGACCACAACACAAACTGCTGCCAGGCAGGCTGCTGCACCGAAACAATTACTTACATCTCTTCATGCCTTCTAGCAAGATGAACCTCCTGAGTCAAATAAGATGACATCTTCAGTCCTTTGCCCCAGTTTTGTGACTCTATTAAAAGAAAACCAAGTGAAATCAAAATCTTCCAAAGACATACACGAACATACACTTTTCAGTATCAAACAATTCCATGTTAAAAACGTTTGTGCATTATATTTATGTATCAGTTATCTACGTAACACCTGTTTGTAAATTGTAATATTCCCTGCAAGACATTGTTACATTACACTTTGAATACATGCACACTACTAATGTTCACGTTTTAGGAAAATCTTACTAGATTCTAATAATTTATGAGACAACTAAAATTTGACTTTCAAGTTTCAAATTTTGCATTAATTTTTCTCAGGTTTCAGATGCTTACAACCCCCCACAGAAGCCATGTGCTTTTGTGTAATTTGTGTATTACTGTTTACATTAGTGATTTCTGGCTTTTGTCAAGTTACCTTGAACAAAGTTATACTTGCAAGTATCTTTTATAACTACCTCTCACAGATAGTGTCCTGTTCATAGGAAATCTAAGTACAGACATGATTGAACTAAGTAACTTAAGCTACTAAACCAGTTAAAAATTAAACTGGTTGAGTGCTTGAAAAAGTGAAAACTTCTTGAGGTCAGCTCTTCAGTACTGTAACACAGCACGTGATGGGATACACAGCTTAAATTGTTTAAATCTTACTTTTTGAAATATGAAGGAAATCAACTGCCCACTGCATGCAAATCAAGATCCTACAGCACTTTTCAGAGGGACCAAAGCATTTTACAGCCCAGTATTTTTTCACGTCAGAGGTGATTGTATTGTTGTCACAAGAAGTAAAGAAAGTAAAAGGCCCTAATACATGTTCACAATGTTGAAGGGTGGGAGAACTAAAAGATTTCATCCAGATACAAGAACATTAGGCAAGGCCTCCTCTCTGTCAAGAAATCCACACTGGACTTTGAAGTAAGTTATTTACATGTGCACTCTAACTTCAGGAGAGCGCATTTTCTAGGGATGCGTGTTTCCCCACACTCTGAAAAATACTCCTATGCAACTGGCCTATGCGTTGCTGAAGCCTCCCCTTCCTTCAGTGAGGGGGACACCCCCTCTGCGCTCTCCCCCTCAGGCAAGATCCACCCCCATCAGGCAGGGCCTTTAAGGCAACGGGAGAGACTAAAGCAGGGGGGGACCGCAACCGCACGCACCTCTTTCCTTCAGGGGAGCCTAGCTTACAAACTATAAAATAAACAAGCAGCCGGTGCGGGCGTCCTCCCCCTCGCAGCACCGCGGGGCGACCGCTTCACTGTCAAGGCGTGAGGGAAGCCGGGCCGGGCCGCTGCGGGCCGGGCCCCACCGGCAGCCCCAGGCTCAGCCCCAGCGGACTCGGGAGCCCTGGGGAAGCCCCTCAGACCCCGCCTGAGGGCAGGGGGCCGGGCCCCGCCTCAGGCCCACGGCCCCTGAGGGGAGCGGAGAGCAGGGCCATGGGCGGCGCGCACCGAGGGCAGGCAGGCGCCGCCCTTAGCCCTACCATTGGGAAAGGGGGGGGACGGGGGGACGGAGGACCTACGAGCCCGTCGGAATGTACCATCGATGTAGGATGGGCGGGGGAAGAAGGCAGAGAAGAAAAATCAGTAAATACGCGGATCTAGTTTACCTTCAGCCTCGCTGCTTCGAAAAGGAAAGACGCCACCCACCCGCCACGACGCCTCGACCGTCTCCCCCGCTGTCATGGAGACGGCCGGAAAGGTGGAGCCTCGCCGTGGGCGCTGATTGGCGCCGCGGCGCCCCGGTAGGCGGGATCAGGCGAGGTCGGGATCCGCCTTCGCCGCTGGGATTGGAGGAGCGAGAGGAGGCAGGGCCCAGCCGTCACGGGCGGGTGGGCTCGTGTCGTGACCGTTACCCTTGAGGCGGCGCGCGCGGTCTGAGGTGGCACCGATCGCCGTGAAACCGATGGCGGCAACCGCCCCGCTCCCCTCAGCGCCCGCCCGCCACATCGGGCGAGTGTTTGGGCACACTTTTGGGGCTTTCTCAGCCCAACGGCGCCAAAGAAGAGCGAACCCTCTCCGGGTGACGTTGAGCTGTTGCCGAGGGTGGCGTTGCCTGCTCTTACTCCTTCCCGAGCCCGCTCACCCCAGCGAGCTCCTGGCGCTCTCTAGTGAGGTACCCCTGCATTTGAAGGCAGGCGCTGCTTTCCCGCACAAGGCACAGCGTTACATATATGTTTTTTTTGGCAGGGGAAGAGTGCTGTGAGTGCCAGCCAGATTCTCCACGAGCGTTTCCAAACCCCGTGGTGTGGGTCTTGCCATCTGTATAGTCGAGAGCAGAATTTCTTCCAGGCCTCAAAGCTGAAGAGTTACAGCGGTTCACTCTAGCCCTTTATAGTCATGTTTCATCAAAAAGTGCTTAAAGGCACTTTTTTTTTTTTTTAAAAAAAAAAGCACAATCCACTTTTTTTGTGAATGTGTTGTACTTCAAAAAGAAAAAAACCAACCCATAAACCAAACAATCCTAAGCTGAATACAGCTGAAAGTTTATTTTTCTTCATTTTCTTCATTGTTCCCGGATAGATGGACATGCGTTTGTAGCTGAGGGTGATTTCCGAAATCACTTGTCTTCCCTGTTTCCTTTCTAAACATTCTCTGATCATAGCGTTTTAAGGCATCTCGTCACGAGCCTTTCTTACTGCTGATCAGAAGCTTTTTCTTGTGATATTCTTCAGCTCTTTTCCATTTTTTCCATTCTCTGATTTTATATTCCTGCAACAAACGCATTAATTCACTTTATGACATATAATTAAGTAGAAATTCTTTAATGCGCTTGTCAGCTTACCCCTGCTTATTGCATATTGCAGCAGTCAGGATAAATAGTACTTAAAATCCCTCCCCCTCCCCCCCCTTGTGATTTAAAGACAAGACTTCCCAATAAATGATAGGGAAAAATAGGAGCCTGTCCTCATTTCTAATGGTGTGAAAAGCTAATGGTTACGGTCTCACTAAATTTAAAGGAAAGCCTAAGTGTTTTGCATATTCTTCTTTGAGCTACACCAGTTCTCCGTAATGGCGGTGATCTTTCTTTCCTGTAGCATTTAATGAATTTCAGAAAGAATAAAGACAAATTGGAGTTTGGTTTACATAAAGCATTATATATGCCATTTGTGGAGAGAATGCAAAGAACATTTTAGTTAAGCTACAGATACTATCAATTGTTCAGTGTTGCGGAAACAGACAGGATGGAAACCATAATTTCTTAATGACTGCTTTATGTGACAGTGGATGAAACACTCTGTAAGATCATAGCTAATGAGCTATAAACTCTGCTTTTAGTTTTTCAGTATTAATGTTCTTTTTTCATTAGAAGAGAAACCTAACCTAGCTCAGTTTCCAGCTTGTCAAGAATATAAGCTTTAAACTTATTTTTTTTAAAAAAAAAAAGACTGCTAGCAACAGCCAGAAATCCCCAGTAACAGGCTGTTTTGAATAGATGGTTCCTTGTATCTGTGAAGCACCCACAATGAAGTTGGTTGCAGAAACGGGGCTTTATGGCTAAGAGTCACTTAAATAGGAAAAAGCATTCTCTTGCACATCTTAATGCACTGGCATCTGATTGTAGCCTACTCTGCAGATTTTTGTGTCATCCGACCCCCCTCTCCCCCCAGTTTTTCAGTTATACTGTGCATCTTACAGGAAAAAAAATATTTAAAAGTTTTTATGTGAGTCTTCATTAAATATTCCCTCTTTGTGTGAACCTACTGTTGGATCACTGGTATAAAATTTGAAAACTGATACTTACTGTCCAGTTGTGCTAATTGTACACTTTAACACCGGAGTGATCTCTCTGTTGTTGGTCACAGTCTGCAGTAGAAGTGTTAGGCCTGGGATCGTGTACTCCATGAGTCCCTAAATATGGATTAAGGACTGAAATTTGGGCATTGTGACCCTAAGTTTTTTGTCACCCTGCAATTTGGTTTTAGTCTGAAAACGTAGAAGGGGTTTTCTGAGCAAAACTGGTGAGTTGTAACACTAGGTGGCACTTAAACACAGCTAACGAAGACTTTTAAACCTTGCAACACACAAAAACAGTCAAACACATTCTGTTCTAACATGCAGTTAATTATATCCTCAAAATGATGTCTTGGATTGATATTACTAAACAAACATGTATAAAATGTAATTACAGACAAGTGAAATAAATACTGTAGGCTTATAATTGCAAGATATGTTTTTTGCTTGTAATATGCTACACACCTGTGCATAGTTTATATAGCTAGTATTTTATTTTGTCATTTTTACTAACATGTAGAATGGTGCGATTTAGCTTTATGTTCTTTTATTTACTGGTACCAATTCTTGCCATATGTCAGTTTTTAAAAAATGGAATGTTTTTATCTAGTGGGATTTTAAAACAGGAGTATTTCAAAGGGAAAACAATAAAAAGAGAGGTTTTTTTATGAGACCACTTCAAAACATTTTTTTTGAAAAATGCATATTTTTTAGGTTTTTTTCTACTTGCTTTTCTTTCCTTTTCTTTCTTTACTTGCTTTTTGGAGGTACACCTCTATTGCGATAGTAGCTTAATATCCGATTGGAGGTCCAAAGTCTATCTGTTAATAAACGTTTCTTAAGTGATACCATTGGCAAAATATACCAGGCCTACAGGACAGTCTAAGAGCCGTGAAATCCCATCACAGCAGCTTGGGGCCATCACCTTGGATTCTGGCAGTTTTTTCCCCACCAGCTGCAGCATTTCAATCAACTGCATAAGCCCCGCGCGGAGCTGCTTTAAGCCACAACAAGCTAAAAAGGCAAAGACCTGCAAGGAAATGTCCTCTCAGTGCAGGAGCAAGCTAATAAAGCATCAAACCTAGAAAGTGCAAAAGTGGACTTCTCGTTCCTCTTTCTCCTCACATTCCAATGTTCAGGGAGTTGCTCTCAGCCCTACTGTTAGCAGTTCCCATACCATTCTCTTTTCAGGGTTACAGTTATGTTCTCTGTGATAGTGAGGTTAGAGGTAAGATGAAGCTCGTAAATGGTAGGACATTCCTGGATTTGCATTTTGTTATTTGGCAGCTAAAGGTGTGTATTTGGTTTGGGAAAGACTGGTGTACGTGTGGAAGTCACACTGTGTTGAGAGAAAATTGCAAGTGCATTGCTGAACGCTTCGACAAACTAATGGGAACAATCTGTGTGTGCTTGTTGGAATTGCCCCCAGACACCAGGAGACCTGTTTCAGGTGAACCAGAACCCAACCAACAGACTGGGGTGGGCTGAGCACCCACGAGCCAGTGCAAAAATAGTTGTCCAAACTAAAGACAGTTGGGTCAAGTTCAGAAGAAGAGTTGGATGACCTGTGGGAAGAGGAAAAACCAACAGCTCTGAGTGTGAGGACACAGAGGTGGTGGAACTCCCAACTGGTTTGTGTGCCTGTGAAAGTGGGGTATGAAACTGTGGATCAGACCAGCCCAAACTCTGTGTCCAATGGCAAAGAAAAAAATAATGGTTGTGGTAGAAGGGCATAAGGAAGAGAATATAAGAGAATATTTTCTTTACACTCTGAGATAAAACCTGATAAACAGGACAAAGCTAAGAAAATCAGTATTCAGCTGCATTTTTTTTTTTTTTTTCTTTTAAGAAAGATCCTTTTAGGTCCTGGAACAGTCTTTCCAGGTAGCAGCAGATATAACTGTGAAATACAAACTAGCCGAGACAATACTTGAAACAGTTTACTGATACACCCATTTGGTACCATCAAGGGGATGCAAGCCCTAACAGGTGCCTTCCATCAGTGGTTTCTATGGTGTAGCTGCTGCTTTTTGAAGATTGCAATAGTTTGGCCCTTGAGTAATAACATTAAGCCTCCTCTTAAAAAAAAAAAAAAAAAAAAAAAAAAAGAAATCTACAGGACTCAACTGACTTTAACAGATGTACAGGTAGTAGAATGTTTTACAAGTAATTATAAAAACTATTTACAGTAATTAGCTTGAATCTAATTGCTTCTCAGCATGTTAGGATAGTAAATTACAGCTTTATTTCAAACAACTCCTGTTGTCTGTTTTCCCTAAACGGAACACAGGAAACCCAGTGAAAACAAACACTTGGAGAAACGCTGTTCTCAGTTCCTGTTTGAAGTGTGTAGAAGGGGGAAGCTGAGCTTTGATCTCACAAGCAGCTCTTCACTTACCTGCATAGGCTACATCTTTCTTCCCTTACGCACCAAGAACCTCCCGAGAGGAGTAAGAGGATGCCTGTGAACAAGAGGGACAGAAATACACCTTTTGGCTCTAAAGTGAGAGGGTCACATCAGAGGATTTATACATGAGAAGGCTGATTTTCCATGGCTCCCTCCCTGGTCAGTGCAGAGGGATAAGCTCTCCTGGACAGCGATGCAGAGCATGAAGCTGAGTGTTTGGAGTAGCTCTGAAGGACCGGAGGTATCTTTCTGTATGGGCTGGGTAGGGAGCTTTGAGAAACCATCTTCCTCAGATTGGTGTCTATAATGATGTCCCTGGTCAGTGTCTGACCATCTGCTTCAAACCCAGCCACAGCTTATGTCTGTCACACCCTCGTGGAGGTTCATTGGACTTCCTCGAGACTGATGTCCCTTGCCACGCAGGTAGAGAGCCCCTCAGCTTTGGCCTGATTGGAAGTTCCTCTTTGAAAGTGTAGCAAGTTTACTGAAATGCAAGTCAGCGCCTGCTAATGTTCATGTGAATCCAATCACAGGTTATTTAAACA